GGGCTTAAAAATAGCAACCGGATGACACTACTCACCTCGAATCATCCTGCATTTTAAGGCAAGAGAGATTCGTTTTAGTCCAAGCTCATGCAAAGAGGCCAGTTTTTCCACGGAATTTTACTCCGTTTTCATAAAGTCAGCGCGCGAGGCGGCCAGCGGCTCGACGCACAATGCATTTTTCTGAAAAACCCCTGCGGGGGAAATAAAAACTTTCACGTTAAAATGTCGCACTTTTTTGCATATATACTCAGACTGTAAATCCCCCTCATCTACCGTCAGTTTTTTGCGATTTGTTTTAATCGATCTCTTTTGAAAATTATTGGCGCACATTCGGCTTTGAACTTCGTCTGCTATGGCTTCGGAAGTGGCTTTCGTTGAGAAATTTGTGGGCGTATCGTTTTCATCCTTCACGGCATTTATACATGAAGGATAACTTTGTGATATTTGTGCGTTCATCCAGTAATCGAAGCACCAACACTATTTTGCGTTACGAATGGGTGTACTACAAATGCAGCAGGCGCCCTCCAAGAAAAACGGAAAGCCGTGGAATCCGAAGAAGCTAGTAAGCCGAGCGTAATTTCTAATAAAAAAATACGCGAAGCACCAGCTGCCCAGCGTGGTTTTGTCTACGGAGGCAAAGGAACCAACTGGCAGTGACCTCTTATTTTCTGGAACACAACCATAAACTGTCAAAGTTTCTGTACGAACGGCTTCCTGTCAATCAACGCCTAACCGAAGACGAGTTGGGCACGTGCCGGGCCCCGCTGAGATACGGAACGCCGTCATCTGAGGTGCGGCAGTTTGTGGTGGATGAATTCGGAAAGATTCTTACAACTAAGGATATACACAACTGGTGCCGGAAGTGTTGACCGGCTATGTTGAGTAGGTGCCCAATGGTTGGGTTGCTACATTAAAATGTAGCAGATGATATGCCTTCGTTCCTGGCAAAACTTCGGGAGACCGGACGCGTCCTTGTGTGTCAGGGAGAGGAAGGTCACTATAGCCACATATGTTTCTCCCGATGGCAGCAGATAGCGTTATTCCGACGCTTTCCAGGCGTAGTAACTGCAGACGGGACACATGCAACAAACCGCCTTGGGTAAGTTTTTTTAAAGCATCTAATATTCGGTATTTAGATATAAACTATACACATTCTTGATAACGGACGGCATGGGAACCGGGCGTCCGGTTATGTATGCGTTCGTAGAGAGCGAGCAGTTTGCTCCCATGCGTAAACTGTTCGGCGTATTCAAAGAAATGGTGGGCGAAGCGTATCCGGTCAGGACCTTTGTAATGGACAGGTTGGCGGCGCAAATGCGTGCGGCAAGAGTCGTGTTCGGCTGTGACATGATGCTTTGATACTTTCATGTCTGCTCACTGTGTGGTGTTGCTCTTCAGGCATGTCCCAAAGGTGAGTCCACACGAAAATAAATCACTTTTGGTTCTTAGCTCCGGGCCCATCCAGAAAACGCAGAGGTGTGCTTGCTACCCGGTCCGCAAAGAGGGCGTCTTATGATGTTGACATGGACCGAAGCACGGAGTCCAAGCACAGTGTGTCCCGTAGGTTTGTGTGCGTCCGTGTTTTCGGGTCCACAGAGGAACTACTCGACAGTCGCGAGTCAATGTCTGACAACTACGACTAACTCTGTAGAGCGCCAGCTAGATGAAAGAGACGAAGATGATTTCATGTGACCCATCGGCTCCGAAAAGTTTGTCTGTTAATGAGGTCCTATGCACTACATGTAAATCTGGTCTTATGATGTTGACATGGACCGAAGCACGGAGTCCAAGCACAGTGTGTCCCGTAGGTTTGTGTGCGTCCGTGTTTTCGGGTCCACAGAGGAACTACTCGACAGTCGCGAGTCAATGTCTGACAACTACGACTAACTCTGTAGAGCGCCAGCTAGATGAAAGAGACGAAGATGATTTCATGTGACCCATCGGCTCCGAAAAGTTTGTCTGTTAATGAGGTCCTATGCACTACATGTAAATCTGGTATTTCTTGAGAGGTGCAGCAAACAGGCATGCGAAATAACCCCTCAAGAAGGCATTGTGTGAATAGGCATCTACGACAGCATAGTCACTGCAGTGAATTTTGGGGTAAGTATTTCTACCTCTTTGTCGGCCGCCCGTCTTAGTGTGATACTTCGATAACCTGAATTATATCTTCTCATTTCAGGACTTCAGCGGCCAAATGAACACTCTTCACGAGGAAGAAAATTCGCCTCTCAGAAGGACATATGTAAACTTCAAAACGACCAATATATCTCAAAATTTCAAGGCGTCCATTTTGAGGCTTTTCTCCGTTAGAGATGGATGGGTGTGAATCGTGTACCCCTAACCGCATGTCAGTCGTGTGCGTCGGTTAAAATCGTTTAGCTGTCTGGTATTATCGACGTAGGCTCCACGTGGCTGGTTAGTTAGGCATCGCGTACCCCCAGCCGCATTTTAGTCGTGCGCGTCGGTTAACATCGATAAACCTCGAGGTCTTTCTAGCATAATTAGGAACCGGTAATGAAAAGCTCTGTAATTTCCAGCCAACGTGCACGATGTTTAGCAAATAATTAGCGTGCACTACGGAATTTTTAGTGGCAACGGAGAATCATCGACCAAAATTTGTTTGCACGAATGCGCCTACGCATGTGTTGCATCTTTAAAGGCCATTTAGATTCTAGAATGTTGAGGAAATCTGTTCCGGTGGAAAAATACCTGAAAGTTACGTTCATTGTATGTGAGTCAACCTTTTCCACAAATCGAGATTTTTTATCATCGGTTAACTTACACAGTCGGCGGTTTTTATTGACCTTGAGAATTGGCTCTCTTAAACAAATCGCCATAGTAAATGATTTTCAATAATACAGGAGCATATGCATTATACATAGACATTCTACACTATGAAGCGGCAAGTCTGAAAATGCCGTAGATTTTGAGAAATCATTAAAATACGAATTGTGCGCCCAGATTGGACTTCGAGTTAGTTTAAACAACTTCTAATAAGACTGCGACGGCGTGGAGAGTTTTTGGGGGCCCGAATATTTACCATCAAATGCTAAAGCTTCATGTTAAAGTTTCCTCTTTTAACCACGATTTCAGGAAAATTTTGGATGCGCTTGTAGGACGCGGCCTACTGACCGGTGATCATGTGCTGCTCAATGGTCTCAGCTGCAAAACCTTCGCAATTGAAATGAATGTTTTTACGCAAAATATGGCATGTTGTGACGTGTGTACTCAAAACAAACCATCATAATATACGTTCATATTTTTTTGGGTCAACGAATATCTTCGTCTACTGAGGCAACCATACCTGTGGCGGAAATTGTCTTGTGGAATACTTTCCTAGCATCAGTGATACGCCCGGATGCTTAGATGGGCTCACAAGACTGGACTCTTAACCTGAACTCAGTTGCTTGTCTCTTTTTATTCAAATGTACACTTCGTAGCTTTCGAAAATTCAGTGCCATTGTGCTGACATGAAGCGCCGTATCGGACGGGACCGGATAGTAAGGAGTTGAGGTGGTGGGCAAAACAGTTGGCTTTCTGCCTGACACAAGAGGAGAACTGTGTAAACGTTGAAAAACGGGGAACCATTACATCAGATATGGTGAAGCATTAGATGGGGCGTCACCCAGCCGGTCGAATTGTACTAAAACCTGAAACCACCGCTCAGGCCTCGGGGCCCTTGTCTGTTTGGCTCATGGTCATGATCACAAAATCGTCTGTGAGGATAATGAAGTGGAGGGATTACCATGGCGGATAAGCGGTAACAGGAATTGCAGAAACATGGTACTCAGTCAAGCTGTAAAGACTCACTAGTGTCACTGTTGTGGAGTCGGACATTATAGTTCATTGGCAGAGTGGGATGATGGCAACACACGAATCGGAATTCGAACTGTGTAGAAAGCTATTGAATTTTGCGGCGCACAGAAATGGTTAAATTCGAAAGTTTCAAGACTCACTAGTGTCACTGTTGTGGAGTCGGACATTATAGTTCATTGGCAGAGTGGGATGATGGCAACACACGAATCGGAATTCGAACTGTGTAGAAAGCTATTGAATTTTGCGGCGCACAGAAATGGTTAAATTCGAACGAAAGTTTCAGCAGACTGGAATGAACGTGTCATGGAAGCAGCTAGGGTCCGTTAAGGAGCTTGTTCTTACTTGCAGATATTGGGGCGTGGTAGCGAGAGGATACGGTCCAAAGAATGGGGCGACTAGTTGCTGCTGTGCAATGAAACTGGGAGTGGAAGTGCTGTACCACCTCTGGCCTGACACACTTCAGTTGTTGTTCAGCCTTATACCAGACGTCAAAGTTAAGGTCATGTGATTGGGGTGTGCAATTCTTTCGGCGGCGGGATTTTTCCAGGTTGTCCAAAGAATCCGTAGAGGTAGAACAAAGTCTATGTAAGATCGCATATTTTATATTCTTTTTTGTCTGGTTGACGATCCCTTTGGATATGGATCGTTGGCCGGGTAGAGTGGATCACAGTCACCCAGGTCATCCTTACCTGATATTGCGGAACTTCAAAGATATAAACAGGAGAGAGGGTACACTGTTAAGAAATTTATAGACTTTGTGAGAAGCACAGTGTGAAAGTCCACCGAGGTAGCTATATCCGAATGGAATTTTCGAGTGATTGGAGTTGGTTGTCAGAAATCGATTATCTCCAGCTATTCCATGAACGTCGACGGGAGGACAGCTGAGCACAGAAAAATCGGGTAGCTTGGGTAAATGCCAATTTAACGGTTTTCGGGCTTAAATGCCGATTGCTGGGAAACGGTTGGTGACATACTTCAATGGATATCTGGTGTCGCGAATATGAGATGCTTCAATGGGCGGGATTCAGCATTAGCGCATAACGGTGGGGCTGGCCCGTAGGAAGGAATGTCGGCTTAACAGCACTAACAGCAGCTGTCACGCAGTTTTTCGCCCTAAATGCCAGTCCTATACTGTTCTCATCAATTCGGTTCACTTAAATATTAACGTGCACGCACAAATTAAGCTACTCATTGGAACTTCGGAGGGAACTGAACACTAAACAAAGAAGAAAAAATTGGGAAGGATGCAACCAGCTGATGCGTTTCAGGTGGAGTTTCAATTTCAGTTTTGCTGCTGAGAGTACTTCGGTCAGGGTACCCTGACAGTTTGATTATTTTGGAGTTATCTGTATCTCTGCTGAGCCGGTTTTGAACGCTTGTTACGTACAATCTACCGTCGAAATCTGCATGAGTAAAAGGGCCACTGTGTTGCTTTTCGGACCGGAAATGGTTGGTAACTTACCATGGTTTAATAAAAACTTGGTCCACAGCCCCACGGTGCATCCGCATTAACCCCTGCACTGAGCATCACTTATGTGATGACCCATCCGCTTTGATGGGACCACAACGTTCATATTACGGTTGCACTTACGGTCGGCTGTTGAACTCCACCAAGCCCAGATCACCGCAAATACCCGGTCGCAATCTCTCCGTAAAATTAATCCACAGGCATCAATCGGCATCATTGGAGACAATAAGCTGAGGTGCTTAATTTCACCGATATGTCAACCGTGGATGATACTAACTTTCGAACGGAGCGCCAGGAATCTGATTCAATTACCCTTTTGCAACTATTCCACCAGGTCAGACTTCAAAAAATGTTCATATTATTCAGTCCTAACCGGTGCTTTTGTCGCACTTACAAAAACGGGGAGTTAAAGGGAAAGGTAGTAGGAGTGAATGGAAATCTCCGTGTGCCGAGGTGGAATTTGTGTAACTTGAGAAGTGGTCTACCCTTCTTTCTATCAGTCCAAAGCTAATTGTGGTTGCCGATATAACTCTTCAGAAGTTCTATCCTAGCATACTGAGAAGCTTATGCTTATGAACCACATCAAAATCAAGAGTGAACCTTGAATACCATTTTGCTAACTCTTGTTTCATGACTCCACTAGCTCCACCCTAAATTTGCTGCCCTCGAACACAATTGCCAAAGAGGTTATTGAGCCGCCCCACGAGGAAATCCTAACATACAACAGGGCACTTGAAAAGGCTGATGCGAACTGCGTCATACGGACATTTTATCTTGAATTTTTCTGTAGTCCAGACTCGACCTTCCATTTCTTTGTTTACTTGAATAGGGTAAACGGCAATGTTCGCGAATTTTTAAATCTCAATCATGTTGAAGATAAAGGAGGAAACACCCCGGTAGCGAAGGTTCACTGGGAATAGCCGGACTATATACCTCCAGAAGTAGTAACGAAATGAAATTCGGATATCTGTTATTTTGCTGTATCTTGATTATCGTTGTGGATTCTTTCAACCCCTGGGCTGGTTGCCCGGATGATAAGGATTTCGACCCAGGCATGTTCACAAGTTGAGACTTAGTGATTTTCTCAGACTGTCCAGATGGTTGGTTTGGTTTCGACATAAACTGCTATACATTCTTTACGACCGCGCCATTGAACTACCTACTAGCTAAGAAAAATTGTGAAGTAACGTTGGGAAAAGTATATCTCCACTTTTAGAAACACGGTGCATTGTTGCTAAGGATCGATACGCTTGAACAACATGACTTTATATCAAAAAAGCTGGAAAGTATTGCTGTGACAAGGACGTAAGAGGTTTTGAAAATACCCACAAAATATTTCTTTATTTTCCAGCATGCGCTGGTACACCGCAGGGATGATGCGACCCGATTCCTTCGGGGAATTCATATGGGAGGGTCATCCATCGAGTTATCAAAACGTCAGAGCAGAACTCATGTCCCTGTGGCTTGACCGAATCCCAGGAGTCCGCGAAAAGGCAACCTTTCCTGCCGACCGTACGAGAATTGTGTACGGCTCGGATGGAGCTCGCTGGGGTTGGTACTTGGATACTGCAGTCCCTGCAAGAAATTATATATGTCAAGCACCAAAAGCAGTGGCAACTCAACTGCTTCCAACGGCGAAGTCGTTAACGTATGGTGAATATTCTACCACTTCAAAAAGGAGAGGTCCCTGTTTCCTACGCCAGCCAGAAGATGTTCTGTAGGTTATTCCATTACAATTTCTACGACCGTTGTCCAGGTATGTTCAAAGACTCAGCTCTGATACATATGCTGAGCTAATGTGTGAGGCTAATGGAAATCCTCAGCCAACGTTTAGGTGGTATTCCGTCAGCATAGAAAGCAAAACGGACGCTTCTGGTGTGACAGTGACATGGCTGAAACGAACGCTAATTGATCCAAAAAAGGACATGAGCGGGAGAATTTCAATAAGTGCTGGATCGCTTGTCATCCATGCCCCGGACAGTTCCACAGACGCCCAGCTGTTTCAGTGCGAGGCCACAAATGAACTTGGGAGCGTTCTCAGTCGGACGGCTCGAATAGTATTTGGTCAACTAGAGAAAGCCCAAAAACAACCAAGAAATGAGAGAAGAGTGTTGGCCCACAAAAGCGAAACACTTCCATGCGACCCTCCACCCCACTCGCCGCAAGACAGTAAGTGCTACTGCACTAAGCACATCTTCAGATGCTACCCGAATATAATGGTACATATTATGAGGGTCTATCCGGAATGTGTCCATACATTTGGAAAAAGATGGTTTCTAATAAATCTGCACTTAGTAAATCCAGTGAGTTCTCTTCATATCGAGAAGTGTAGTTGTCTGATCACTCATACGTTCGGAAATTTCATCCAGCCTTGAAGTTGGGTTGTCCTCAACATCCTTCGCATTATTCTGGTCAGAGATTTTCCAGCCAGATTCTAAATGGAGCTAAAAACTGCGGATATGTTGAACACTCTCTCACTTAATAAGGATGTTCCTTTTGGTAAGTGGCATGGTATTTTTCATTAAAAATGTGGGCTATAATAGGTTCATTGGAAAAAAGGAATAGGTGAACTAGATGTACGCCTACATAAGTTTATATTTCAAACAACCGGTACTTACAAGACTCTGATGTGATTTGTCACGTGCCTCCAAAGCGCATTCCATATGCGTCTTAACTTACTACAAAAGGCACCTAGATGCGTCCGGCTGAACTTGGATAATCCAGGTTTGTTTATTGCTCATCGGTGCTGTCAGATACATTTATTTTGACTGTGCTGTTTTGAAGTATGCAGCCACGTTACTTTTGATGTAACTTCGCACTGTAGATCTGATTGAAAACTTACAGATTGTTGATTAGGTTGTCGTTGTACTGCTTGCTGAACTTGACAAGGAGACTAATAGCAATCTGATCGGCAACCAGTAAACGCATTCAGCCTGTCAACTCTTGAACATGTTGTGGTTACGTATCTTAGTGACACGGTGAGATTCAATCTGTCTCCTATGGTTTTACTAAGTCCTATGTAGACAGAAACTCATAAACGATAGGTAACCGAGTTTTTACTGTTTTGATAGTGATTTACGCCGTGCTGCGGGTAACACTGCGTTGGAACATCAGCAGTTTAGGAATGTTAATGGACAAGTTGTCAGGTGTTTCTATTTCCAGTACGTCTAGCACTCTTCACTTTATTGCTAGCTTCTACAAGCTAGCTGTCAAGCTTGCGAACGGATAACCGCCAGATCAGATAAAAATACTACGGAGTTCTTTAGCCATAGCCTATTCGATTTCATCTGACGACCTGATACCAGTTTAGTACCTGGCAGCCAAGCACGACCGATTGCGAAGCACATAATTTTTGAAAAGATTATCCTGTTTATGATTGCTTGGCAGGTGTTTTGTCGCAGAAAGGTAGCTAATTTTCTAGTCAACTAGTAAGTTGAAGCTTTTAACCAGTAGAGCGGGCCACGGAATCATCCAAGACCAACGATACAATCGACGGATGTGAATTGTGAACTTTCCTTGTGAACTTCATTTATTCATGACTACTCCAAAAATATGCTTGCCGGTCTTTGATATTTGCAAGGATGTACAAAATATATGTTCAAAATATGTTTATTAATAAACGCGCTTTTGCAACCTGTGAAATTCCTATATGTAAATTTCGTGACAAGAACATCAGCAATGCGTGTAGTCGTTCTGTTTTCCATACCTAAGAGGTGCTCTATCACGGCGAACTTACTACTTTTCTTGTTGAGTTCTTTAAAAGTCCACGTTTAATAAAAGATTAAGTTTTGACAAAAACTTTGTGCTTAACGACGTCAAAATAAATGATAAATCCCGAAGAGTAAACGCAAAAAAATATAATAAAATGATTCTCTGAGATATACCTGTTCCTTTAGTGTACTTTGGCTGTTTGGTTGAGTTTTCACAAATAAATTAATCTTCCTGTAAAAGCAGATCCCCAGGCTTTCAAAAGCCCTCAAGAGGGGGAAAAACAACTTTACTGAAAAATGTCACTCGTTTACAAAAGCTGTCACAATATGTACAAATTTTATCGCTGATAAAAATAGAGAAATTATCAATGCACGTGCAGCAAAAGAGCGAGGATCACGAGAAAACCACGCAATGGTGCTTCATTGAAAGTTTATACAGAATTGTATTACAAAAGCTGATTTTTTGCTAGTGACGTACGAAATTACAAGATGACTTATTCAGCCTTTGGTCTGGTGGCTGGCGCGATGCATAGGTACTGTCATAGACATATAGAATGCCTTGTGCTGCTTTTGTTACATAAATTTAGGGGCATGTCAATTTTTGGAGAGTGGCTGAGGTGATGCGCAGCCAAACTTAGCTGTGTGTTTGTCGTAATAATGCACAGGTCTGAACGAATAATTCTCCGGATACCTACCAGTTACGTGTGGAAGCTGTGTTATCTTGTGTTCAAATTTTGTAGACACTGTGTGCACATCTCATCTAGTTCTTGCATTGCATGCGTTTGCAGAGATAGAGGCCAGGTATAGTAACGTCGGTTGGCCAAATGCACTAACTGAATATCAACTTTGCAATATGTTTATGCCCGCTGACTTTTAGCAAAATATGCCTCTATATAACAACAAAACAGGCTTTTGATTAAAATTGGTGGTTTAACTTTTGATGCACCAGAAAAGTGACGCGTAATCAGTTACAAAAGCAGCAGTTATATTTCTAAGACCTCGAAATTTACGAGAATGCGTTTGCCTGGAAACATTTAAGACAGTCTCAGTAACACGAAATTCATTTTGGCAGCGAAAACAAAATGCCATTTACCAATAGTCCTAAATTTTAGGAGAACAATAGATTTGCTTGGCGGAGTCGTTTTATGTCACAAGCCGTCAATGTCGCATAATGAGAAAAGCTGATAAAATCAAAGGGAAGGCAATCAAACCGGAAATCGTAGCAGATGTGAGACGCGATAAAACGCGGAATGAAACACACATGCGGTGCAACTTTCAGCAATACTGAATCATGTTTAGAACACATCTGTTGTACTTCTCCTGGAAAATGCTTTAAGTATGATTCAGGGTTTTGTTGTGTAACGAAATACCAACAAGTAACTTAAACCACTCGCCTTCCTTTTGGTATCCGGGGAAAGTGATCTGATATGAGATTCAAAACTAATCATGAACGACGTCAATGAACAATTATTTTTCCTGAGTTTTCTACTTTCCCTCTAATTTACTCGATTGAATGGTTTTTATCAAATAATGGCTGCACACAGCTTAAATCATTACCCTGAATTAGCACGTGGCCACTAGGTATGAATCTCTTATGTTTAAGCTCACTACATATCAAAAGTGAAGACTGAGAGTAAGTTGCCTACAGTGAAGTTGATAATGCTGAGGAGAAACTCGTCAGTTGGGAGAAGCATAGTTTTTGCATGACTAAAGGCAAAATAGAACATTTTAGTCAGCTAAAGACAAGAAAAAATAATAAGGGGGAAACGCAGATGTCTTGAGTTGCAAAAGTTGCACACAATAAGGGATAAAGAAGATTTGCCAGAGAAAAGTTCGTCATTCAGTTTCATTTTTGTGGTGTCACTGTGTAACTTTCAGTCAACTTGTAGCACAAATTGAATAGCATAAGGGCTATGGGACTAACTGTCGATCTTATTATTGGGCTTAGAAGTCATCTTAAATTTTGACGTGTCTCAGGATCTTTCGTGAATCTCCCAGCGAAATACATCCATTTACAAACAAATTGGTTTTTTTTTCGAGAGACTCAGCTAGAACCCAGCTGAATCTTTCGGTTTTGATGTTTCAGTTGGGTTCCAGGTGAGACTCTCGAGACAACAAATTAGTTTTCAAACGAGTGTATTTCGCTGATTTCGTGCAATTTGGTTCCGAGTAGAACATGAAGTTGACGGGAACTCGAGGACTGCGCATACCTGATGAGCCACAAGAAGGGCAAAACCGGTCGTGGGCTGTCGAGGAATTTTCAGCACTCTCATGAGTATTGCATTAGAAAAAATGTATGTGTATCGCGACATCTCGGATATCGTAGCCACTAAAACATGAAGCGGCCTGATGCAGCACATTCAGTTGCCTGGAATTATCAAAACCGAGAGATTCAGCTGGACTCCAGGTGAGTCTCTCGAAAAACCAAATCAGTTTTTAAATGAGTGTTTCCAGCAACCTCATGAGTAGTGCACTACTCCTAACTTACCCTTTAAGAAATTTTTCCTCTGGTACACCAGTTGATCTTTACATGCCTGCTCCGAATAGACCAACCGCTACAGTATCTTAAAAATAGTCCATGTATTCTGACATATATGTCTGTTAAAGTTGGACACTCCATTCTAGAAAATGACGCGTTATTTGTACACAGTCATTTCTTAAACTTTCTTCATCTTGTATTCTATTGTATCTACTTCAGGTCTTTTGTATACAATTTATATGAGCAAAGATGGCCAACTAGAACCCGTGATTACCGCTTACCGTCCGAATTTGTTCATCTCTCAAGCCAAAGGTTTGATAGGATTCTCCGAAGTTACAGCCCTAGTAAGTGAAAAGTATGCAGTGTATTACTTTTGGTGGTACTGTCCGTAATAGTAAGTGAAAGTCGCAGGTCTTGAAAAAGTTAACGCGTGGCTTGATCAAAGTTCTCCAGAGTACATCTCACTCCGTACAGAGTAAACAAATGTAATGTGATTACTTCAGAGTATTTTCTAATCCTAACATCCTCAAACAACTCTGCACATTATGGAAAAATGAGCCATTGTTTCGCTTTTGTTAATTAGCAACCATGTTGTACGGTGATTCTTCCCAAGCTTTAAGACGATTCGTTATAGTTCTCCTTAGCTCAAGGAAACAAGCTCTACTGTTTGAAATTTCTACCCTCAAAGGACAGGGAAATCAACCTTCCAAAAACAGGTTGGTTCGGATTTCATATATTTTCAATAGCTTGTTGTTGGAAAATGGTGGGTTATCAGTGTTTTCTTCAGAGGTTCCTGTGCGTTTGATGATGCAACTTGCTGATGTTGCATTTTATCTTGCAAAGCGTGATTTTTGTGTGATATTACTGGTTGGGTCCCTTTTAGAAGAGCCTTGTTATTCCAGACCTGTCGGAGTCATCTTGACTATGCAAATACAAAATACAGCTACGCACCGTTGATAAAACCAATTTTTTAGTTAGAGAATCACCTAGAGGCAGTCTCTGTTAGTCAAAAGAATAAAAATAGCTATAATTTGATGTATTGCCGGTACTAAGCAGCCATGTCAATAGATCAGTACGAATGAACAATCACACCAAGTCTGCGGTGTCGTGATTCATTTAGACCAGTTGGTCCGTTTTTAGGTTGGAGAAAGTGGTGCCACACATAAAACGCAAAAGATTTGGAACGACGAATGGCCTATAGGCTAATTACTCGGGTTATGAATCTGTTTAGGACTGTATGCTTTGGGAATAAATTGTTTGCATAGAGAGGTAAGTTTTGGATCAATCTATTTTCTTTCGGGTGCTTCTGTTACTTTGAACTTCAAAAGACAAGGAAGTTGCCATAAGTTCAGCCCTCTATAGTGTCGTCGAATAAGCTTTGTACTCTGTAGCCGCGCAGTGTTTACGATACGTTCTTTATGTTTAATTTCGGAAGCACAAATAAATTCTTCCAGTCCCCTAACTCAGTAATTGATAAGCTACCACTACTCTTGTTACAACGCTGCTACTGTCCTTATGAGGTCCCAGAGCTGTGGATGGCTTGCCGGTCATTTGTTCAAACAGTCACAAAAACGCAACAGAAAGTATGAAGAATTAAGCGAATCTCTTTTGTGTACAAAGTTTATGTGTGAGAAGTCGCATCCACAATCGCAAGATAGCGCAACATGATTGTGTTGGACCGGTGTTGTAGCACCCTGTAGACAACCTGAGATATAGTGCGTCCTCCATGCCAACTAGGTGGGAAATAGTAAAACGCTGGGTTTTACCTGAAATTCTCAGACAGAGCTAGCTTGGGAAGTTTTCTCTAGTTCACAGAGATAAGTACCATGCCAAAAACCAATGTAACTGACACAACATGCATACATAAAGTCATAAACAATCATCGCCTAGGACAACGCCGATAGATTTTTTTATTTCTGAGCGTACGGTAGATATCTTGACACCAGGGCAAAATTCCTACTCTATTTTCCAGGTATCGTTTAATTAAAACTTTCTCTCATGGGTCACATCAGTTTCTAACTCTAGTAAGGGAAGCTATCAAAGGTAAGCATTTAATGAAGCATATAAAGAAGTAAACTGGAGGAGATCAGACTGATCAAGATCGCAGTATAGCCTTGCCCATTATGAGTCCAAAAACACCTTGGTTTAAGTCTAGACAAAGTACTTGAATAGCGCATCACGCTGGAATTCTATTTTGTTCGGAAACCTTTGAAAAAATATTTATGTGGTGAGCTGTGATTTCAGATATTTGGAGGCTCCCTCTAAAGTTATGCTGTCAAACACCAGAAATATCCGTGGGGATTCGCCGTTATCTTCGTGGCCTACCACGCATAGATTTTGAGCACGAGTATGAAGTATCTTTAGTACACTCTGAATAATCATCCAACTCAGCAGTAAAATATTGGTTATCAAATACTTTTCTCATTTTCTTTTTTTCTTTTTTCTTTTTCATTTTCTCATATAAACTTCCCTCATATATATATATATATATATTGTTTTTCCGAAATACTTTTTCGTTTGTGAGCATACCATAAATTAGTTGCGTAAAACACCTACGCGGCTTGAACGAAGGCTATGAAAAGAGGCCCATGACAAGTGTAATCTGGTTTAATCAGTTTACACCAAACCCTATGCCCAAACAAAATAAACTATTCAGCATGATAATTTGTGCTTCATAAAACCCTACCAAGAGCTGTTTGACAGAATAAACCAACGGCGCCTGTAATTATCTTCATCCGCTTGGTCAATCCACCCGTTAGGTCCAAGGAATAACGTGCCCGACCCCGGGTTGGGTATTCGATTTCTTTTGGCTAGTGTATTTACATGTTCCACTAAGATCCAATGAAACGGTATATGCTATTCGCCAAATTAGCTGCGAGTACAATCGGACACCACTGTCTTTGGCTTAAGGTAAACTTGGAATTTTGAACAGTGAGTGAATCGTCCGTCGGTTTTTGTACCAAGCTAAAACATGTGAGGAACTCTAGAAAAAGTATAATGGCACGGAATCTGGATAACTACACTTGATCGCTCTGCCCTGACAGTTGCTTCTGTACTTGACTAAGGTGGGCAACCAGGTTGTTAAACTAACTGGCATGGAATGGATGACAAGAAAAAGTGCATAAATGGATTTCAGTATGTGGGAGGAGAAATAATTGATGCATGAAATCGCTGCACCTTTTAAGCCATCACGACGAAAAGTAAAATTATTTCTGCCCTTGTTTCGATGAAAGAGCGTTCATAAGAATAACCTGCGAACTAAGAATATGACAAAGGCAATGTTGAAACTCACAAATATTTACTTTTCCATCACTCGGGAACTATTGGAATAGCTGAGAAACGGAACATTCCAAGAGGTAAAGGCATACTGGATATACTTCTTTGAATAGCAGTGAAAGTGACCCTTATTACAACAAAAGGGATCTGTATTATCTGGAATAATACGTTTAGGTGGTAGGCGAGGAACCACCCAATGACACTGGTTGGCACGATTGCTTGAAGTATGAAGAGGACTAGCTTTGGTGTATTTCTAGGACCGCGATTAAACGGAACACTTTGCCCCGGATGTACAGTATCCCACTAGGTGTGAAAATAGTTCAACACCAGGCGGAGACTCACATTTACGCATAAATTGATTTGCTCATCACTTGTTGATTGGTTCGCACACATATTTTGACGAATCGCATGGTTGTCTCTTTGAACCGTTACTGGCTAATCTTGGTGTATACCCAAGTTTCCAACCACTGGTTGAGTCACAATCGGGTGACATTGTTGCAAACTACGAATGCTCCGGCACGGAAACTTCTTTTACCAGATATATCAATAACTCTCCACCTAAATACTTAGTCATCAGTGAACTGAAGACTTTATTTCGTGTAAAACACATATGTACATGCTCACGCTGACGTACATTCCGATTAGCAGTAAATATATGAAGATGATGTTAGGGCATACAGAGTCGTCGTAAGTGTTTGTGCATTTTATTGGACTAATGCAAAATTTCTGTTTCATCAAGGACACCGGGATCTATGTTTGCATAGTCACAATGCAGTTCAATGGAGTTCGTTTGTTTGATTCACCTAAATTGCCGGACATGCCGTTCACAGTGACTCAGAGCAACGAACCCAGACAGGAGCCTAGAATTTACGACGACTTCCCGGCTATTTGGCCTAGCAATCCACAACGGGGTCAGTTTGTTCGCCTGGAATGTTTTGCATCTGGATATTCGCAGTTTGAAGGTTTGACCTATACATGGCGTCGGGTGAGTATAGAGGTTGAGTTTTTTCCGCTCCGCAGAAATCCTGTCATCACATTTTTTATGATAAAACTTATGACTGTGGCGTACAGACTCCAATCTTACCTTAAAAATCTGGCCGACCATTAGTTGAACACAAGCTGAACATTGTAGTTTTGGTAGCAAAACCCAAGTGTTGTGACTCCTTATACCTTGTGTTAGGTCTTTCATGTCCACACGGTTGATCACAATACTTTCAACCGACACATTTCTTCTTTTGCAGCGCGAAGGGCTCCCAATTCGACCAGGCAGCTTGAAAGACTTTGATCGTGTAATTGAGCTTCCAAATGTACAACCCGAGGATCAGGGTGAATATGAATGTAGTGTGAGTCTTTGTCCCAAGAATCCTTAAATCACACATATCTGTACCATACATTGCACTGGTAGGTTTGTATTGAGCCAACAAGGCCACGCACGTCTTTTGCCGCAAGTCTGTTACTCGTGAAGCTGGGATACTCCGTGTAGGAATCAGTTCACTATGATTTACACAGGTGCAGTTTAGGAATGAATAAGAAAAAATATTCACTTAACTTTAACAAAGATATGCTACCCGATGTGAACAACAGGAGCTACTCCTTGAAACAGACTAATTGGCTGAATATTTGCCCAACAGAATGAATCAATACAAACAAACATAATCACTTATATAACTAATTTTTAGGGCTTACCTGATGTAGAATAAAGCGAAGTGAAACATTTTTGGACAAACGGAGACTTGTTTTTTTCGCACCTGCTACGGTTGTGATGGCCTCCCCATTAAAAAGAACGGGGTTGAAAGCATTTAGTGACGAAAGTTTATCAGTCGTGAAATATTTGGAGTAATTAAGACGATTTCGTTGATCGCGACACTATTTCTGACTGACTTACATCGAATGCCGAATTTCTTGGTAAGCAGTCCATGTTCATTTAAATCTCCGGTGTATTATCCCTGCTTCTGGTGATAAGAACATTAGTCAAACTGATGATGCCAAATGGTGATCTTAATCACGCAAAAACAACCAGCCAGAGGTTTGATTTGGCTGCAACTTTTATAGTAGGAGTACCACCATAATTGATTATCTCCTGCAACCTCGTCAAAAACTGGGAGGATAATACGCCATTTCTGCCGTGAAATCAAGCGGGAGAACGATGCATCCATTCTCTACCGGCGATGCTTTTTATCAGTTTATTAGCAGTTCAGATGTTCTCCCCACTGAGGAACATGACAGGAACCTCGAACTAAAAGCAACTCTAGCAAGAACGAAATAGTGATTGGAAATCGGTTCTGATCTCCAAAATTGATCAAACTGTAGCAAAAACTCTATAATACCATGGTCATTTCCCTCATCGCAGTTTTGTAAGTAGCCAATTTAACATAGGTGAAACTCATAGACTGGAAAGGTCAGCACTATAACTTGCTGAGTGGTCTTTGACCCATTTGTGACCATATTTCTCTCTCCATGTTCGAAAAAGCACCGCTCAAAACGTCAAACTAAGTTAGACAAACATTGCTTTTCGTCCATCGAAAACCTGGAAAGCGTTCTGAAGCTTGTATCTATCATGCAAGCCCACTTCAACCACGATTCTTTTGGCCTTGCCTCAGTCCTACTGATCCTCAAAACTGAAAACATACATAAGACCTGTGGAGTAAAGCCAGTGTAGTGATCTAGGACGAAAGGTAAGTTGTATACGGAATAATAGGGGTGAATCATAAATGGACAGTTTAAACGACCAATCAGTCTGAAGGTCAACCAATTAAAGGTGGTCGTGGTTGGCTGTGTTAACGATTCGACACTGGACACCCTAAAGTATTAAGCCATAACGGTGCTAGAAGTGAATTTCAGTGACAACCACTGTACAGGCTAAAGTGCTTAATGCATAACGTCAAACATCCACATGTGTGCGTGCATGAGTCACGGAGGCTTCTTATTAGGGACGCCGGTTGTTGGAACACTCTCAATGTACACTGTAAGTTGCAGCTCAGCAGTTGACTCTTATGAACCGTTAGTTGGGCATATCGTTGGATTTAGAACCGCCTCTACCGTTTCCAGGTGGAGGCCTCAGTCTCTCTGGCTTACGTTGGATGGGGGTGTGCAGGTTCTTGCACGCGCAGAAATCCATTAGCGTAGTTTCGTCTCACCGGCAAATCCGGAAACAGACACCACTTTACTGTGTAATGGGATCAAGGCCGCCGTCTGACACGAGCTAGATCACAACCCTACTCTCTGGTCTGAGGAAATACGTCTTAGCCTGTAATATGAGAAAAGATGAAAATCTGTTTGTTTTGAGTCGAAGTGTATAGTCCAAGTGACATGAACTACCTCCCTTGCGCTTGCAGGACAAGTGACTTGAAGCGTAGGAGCGTCAGCACGACAGAAATCGAATTTCCTTAGTACCTTGGTTGCCAGAATTCCCATCCGTCGAGGGGGAATTCGGCTTTCTGATCTCTCCTATTGTGTTTGTTTGTTCAGTTTACGTATACTTGTACTACTTTCAAATCTCCTACTTTTAAACAATTCAACTGGTCTAAAAGTTCCCCATTTCAGTCACCCAAAACACGAAAAAGTTGTTTTGGACTCAAAAAGAACTTTTCAGAAACCATACCGATGAAAAAGAAGTTGAATTCTGGTTGCATTCCAGCCAGTGACTAAGCAGCCACTAATAAGTCCACCGTCAATCGAAACGCCAAACGCTGTCTGACTGTCTCTTGATTCTATAATGTAAGCTCTCCTGCAATGCAACGCGAAAATTCTACCCAGCTGAAAACATGATTTCCTAAATGAGGACTGCAGCCGAAAGTTTCAATGAAATTTTCCGGTACCTGATAAAGGTTTTGCTGGTGTCGAGAGACAGTTGGAAAAGGTATGTTCAGAATGGCAAAGCTAAACCTATTTAGCAAAATGTTCTATAGAAAGTAAACCCAGTTAGTTGGGTTTAGCAGGAGAAATATTTTCAATATGAGGAAGGTTCTGGTAAGGTAGTTCGATCGCCATCCGTAACATCTTGATTTATCGAGCTCTGAAAATATTTGGACATTGCGGCAACTTGTATTTTTGAAGTTAGCAGTAAATTACAACTATTTTATTCTTCCCGGGAATCAGCAACGACTCGTATTCTATGATTTCTGAGCAAAGAGTAAACTCGCGTATTCATACGGTACTCTTTTATGTAGATACTTCTTGTCTTTCTGACGGGGCGAAAGCCACCATAGCGTATGTGACTGAACGTAATCCAAAGTAAACATAATTTGTTGAAATTTGGTAGCTCACTTCTTGTCTTTCTGACGGGGCGAAAGCCACCATAGCGTATGTGACTGAACGTAATCCAAAGTAAACATAATTTGTTGAAATATTGGTAGCTCGGGTGAGTTTATTGGTTGTTGATCAGGTGGCTGTTGATCTGTTCGCCGAGCTTGGCAATTGGCTTGCAAATGTTTCGTCACCATACGAGGAGACATCATCAGTGCGCAGTTGAGTGGGTACTTCTTCCTTACCTGCGTGCGCTTATATAGCATTCGAGGGCTATCTGTTATCTTCTGACGTGATTGGCTACTTAAAGTGTAGCAAATTACCGGAGTTCACTTCTAGGTGTATGTATGCGTTTTTATTCAGATTTCGTCAGACGGGTTCGGAAAGAAACTTCACTCAACTGTTGCTACATGAGCGAAGTTTCAGCCGGCCAGGGATTAGGAATTTTTCAAAATATCATGGTGGGCTACCATAGTCCACCAGCAATATTGCTTATGAAACTTCGGATCTCAAGTTATTGATTCGTGAAAAGAACAAGGGATACAGTCCATTTAGCTTGTTGTTCCCATCTCATTGGAAAGGTGAAACCAGCAAACGTTGTCAGTCCAGTCTCTTACCAAATGTGGCTATGAAAAGTTTGAATGAAAATCTAATAGTACTCAAAACTTACTCTGTACTCGAAGCGTTTCAGATGAGGTACAGCAGACACCTACCCGAAACCCTCCATAGGACTCTTTAATAGGCGTTCCTATAAGCGCGATTAAAATTTGCAACCTACCACTTACGATGAACCTTTGAAATATTTTAGGTGCGCGACTCACTCGGAAAGAAGGCTACACCGAGATCAGTAATGCTTCACATCACGGCCAAGCCGTATTTTCCCACCCCGCTGCATGATACAGTTGCAGATATTGGTACAGATGTTACCCTCACTTGCGAGGCTGCTGCGATTCCTGAACCCGAACACGCATGGTACCGTAATGGCATCGCTGTTTCGGACCTTATAAGTCAAGGGAAGCTGGATCCGGCCCGTTATGCCCTAATTTCAGTGAGTGCAACGCGGTCGAACCTAAGGATACTGAAAGTGAGTAAACCCTTTTTGAATTCTTTCGTTGAATAGCTGAGAGGGCTTTAGGTCACATTTTTCACTGAAGTATGTTTACTCTTCATTTGCATACACTAAGGCGGGACCATTTTGCATGCGTACATACCGAAAGCCTTGCGTTCACAGAGGGTCCCTTGTTGAATTAAAAGAGTTGAAGCATAGGGCACCTCACCCATGAAACAGTGGTTATTTCGACAATGCAGGTTTCCCAGAATCTTTGGGGAGACACGACGTTACAATGAAAACAATAGGGGGAGAGGAAAATAACCTCTGTTTCTTAGTTTTTTGTGGGGATGATAGTAAATTTTTCTGTGAGTCAAGCGTGAAAGGTATGAGAGGCTGATAAGTTTTTTTGGTAGCTTATTATCACTATGAACGACAACTTGGACGTTCATCATGGACGTAATAATCTCGTTTATAGGCGGACACTTCAAACAGCAGAGTTTGGGGGCCAGTTTACTGGTTATCAAACAAAACCTAGTAGATAGTTAAATGAAGGCGTAACTTACTGCCTTTCCACAGTGTCTCAAGCTATGTAGTTAACTCAACCCAACGCCAACAACTACACATCATCTGGTTCGCCCGTTTTCCAATAAAAGTCCCTGACACAGACGGCAACACTTTGCAAACTGATCCCTTCGTACTTCTGCATTCATATCCTTGTACTGCTTAGATACTTGAAGTGCAGAATTTTGGCCCAGTTGAACAAACTTTATTGATAAGACACGACAGAAGTAACAAGATTGAAAAATTGATGCCGGAGCAGCTCTAAGTTAAGCAAGAATCTACCAGCGGTGGCTACATATCTCAACGCTCAGTTTGTTCGGTGGATAAAGTGACGTGTTTATAACGATTCAGGCAGGAGAAAATTGGTTGAGGCCTGCAAGATTCAGACTTTCACGGATTACTCTTGGAGTAACCTCAAAAATCCCATGTGGGTCTGGTTGTTTCATCTTCACAAACACCATCTTCTGGCGTCGTAAATAGTCCATACCATTCCAGCTAAGGAGGGGCAATTAAACAATCATAAAGATTCACCTGTTGAAAGTCCTTGGCTTGGAAAACCATTGTGCAAGTCGCGCTCTATTTATGGCATGCCATGTTGGACTCCATCTTACATTTGGCAACCAAGAAAGTTTAATTTCTCATTAATTGCCAAGCCTGTGGGTGTTCCATCATTGCGGCAAGTATTTAACATAGATTTTTTCACAATAAAATTAAGCCGTTCTCGTCCCGCCGGGGAAACTTTCCCCCATTCTCGTTTTTGGCTATAGTAAGGCCGTTACCCCAGTTTTATTGATGAATACTTTATGTCATGAGCACCGAAGGTGCACTATTTCGCCACAGAAGTCAATTTTTTGATGTGATATGACTCTAATTGGCTTTCTGTTTATACGAAGTGCAATTTTTCTGAACCGTTTACCGGTAATTACACCGAAGGGTATGATAGAACAACAAACGTCGATTTTGTGGTCACAATAACTGTTTTCGGTTGCAGCCCAAGATTATGTTTTTGCAATAGATTATTTTATTTGGTGGTTTGTATCTGTTTTAATGTCTGTTTTATTTACTGGCTCTTTCTAGTTGAGAAAAATGGAAGCTTTGCTACTATCCTAGAGTCTGGATGAATAGGGCCTGACAACTATCATTTAGTTTCATCATATCCCGTTACCATGGATTGCAAGCTTACTGAATATCAAGAGTTTTCTCTAAAAAATGGGAAAATCCACACAAACCCCATAAATCTTCTCAAAAACGCGCTTATGAGTGGAATCGCTCTAGTTCGATAAAGAAATCGTGCAACACGTTTTCCACTGGTTATTCTCACGAAGAAATCCTTTCGAGAAGCTGCTTAGAAATCCACAAGAGTTATCTCCACCGAGGTTACAAAGCTGATCCAGGGACATTCCTGTTTATCTCAAAAGGGATTGTTCTCAACGAGTATTGATTGAGAACATCCTTGTGGATGACAAGAAAAGACCTATACGGCTTAAGATACCCAATCAAAAAGCCGTATGCAATTCTTCCTCATCCATAATCAGATGGGTGCACAAACTTACACGAATAAACCGATGAATCGATGCCATTGACAGACAGTGTGTATACATAGAGATCAGGTCTTGATCCAGTCTAGGCTCGTGGTGTGCTGACTGTTACCAAAGAAGTCATTGTAAACGGATCTGAATACAGGTACAGTTTGCAACCAACCTGCCTCTTTCAGTTATGTGTCCTTACAGAGCAAGACCACTTTACATCTTACAGATGCCGCTGCGGTACATATGTTTTATTTCAGCTATCCATTCCACAGTTTCTGAATGCAGCTACAACTCAGAGTGCTCTTCGACTAACGAAATCACCAAAACGTGATTTACCCTGGCATATACTGCGCTTCAGTTTCTTGCTATTTTGAACTCAACTGACTAGGTTGATCGAACGAGAAATAACTGCATTTCCTCCATATTATGGAGCCTGAAGAAAGCATGTCACTGAGAAAGCTAAATATGGTCTTTTGCTGATCTTGTCGTTTAAACTCCATTCGGCTAGTGGGCACTGGAACGGTCCTACTGCACCTGAAGGGCACCAAAATAAATAACAACTGACTGGCGGTTTTGTGTAAGATATATCGTGTCAAGCCTTCAGAATGCGAAGAATGTCTCATGGCAGTGGTACAAATGTTGAGTTTTATGGACCGCTAAACCGTCATGAACTGTCTGGGGTTACTTCTATTGCTTTCAGATAACTAAATTTTCAATTTCAGGTTCAACTATCGGATTCGTCCATGTTCACCTGCCTGGCGTGGAATAATCTGGGTAGTGAGGCATCATCCGGAGAGTTGCGGGTCATCAGTTTGGCTCCGACGTTTGCACGTCATCCCGTGATGCCGAATGAAGGGATGGTTGGAGGTTCTGTGGTGATGGAATGCCGGCCAGAGGGTGCACCAAGTATGAAGACACAGTGGCTTCACAATGCAGCAGTACTAAGTCCTGGTACGAGCATAATGGATCCCGAGACGGGTTCAGCCACGGTAAGTCCCTAATTCAGACCTATATACACATTAAGGTTTGGCGCTTTAATTGTTTATATCCTCAGAGAGCACTTCATGTATACGTGTGGTAGCAAATTTGCAGAACAGATAACATTCTCCAAGTGAAGAGCGATCAATCCAAGATTCTGGCTTTGCAACAGTGATGTAAAAGTTCACTTGGAACTATCGCTTAGGTGTTCGGCGATAGCTGATATTGGGTTGCATAGTTAACATGGCTTAAATTCATGCTTGCTCTTCTGCGCAGTACATACCCCGTTTCGAAATAGTTTGAGTCGTACCACAGTTGCTAATACGATAGCAAGCAAAACATTGATAACCACAAGGCTGCAGACAGAGTATACCTACACTGCTCATGTGGTCACTTTGGCCTTGATCTCCCTTAGAAGAAAAAGCTGCGAAGTTGTTCTTCTGAACTTTCATCCTAGTGGCCTTGTCAAGTATGAACCAGAGACGTACTTTTCTGGGTTTTCGTTATCAAAATGTGCATTTCAAGCTTTTGTATGCATCACCAAACAAAGCTCAAACAAATGTGAACGTTTATAAGACTTGTGTGAAACCGACGAAGTGTAGTTGTTTTGCTGTCCACGTTGCTTACGAAGGTTTGCTGTGACATATCTCTTCGTCCTGGTATTTGTTGTGCATTATGTCCAGGATTCGGGTTGTCTTCCTGCTGTAAGTCACATTGGATAAATATACTTGAGATGTGTTAACTTTCCGAATAACTTCCAAATATCTTTTTAATGATAAGAAAAACATCATGTAAACTACAGCCTTAGCACTATCTTCGTAAGGCACTGGAGATGTGTTTATTTCGGTTGGTTATCTAGTGCATTATCACTAACTTGTTTATTACTATGAATCTTGGAGGAGAATTGTGCGTTTAATCGGTACAGAGAGAAGAGATTTTGGCTGTAGTCATATTGAATATAGACGTGTTTATTGGGCTAAAATTGCGCAGTCAGCCATCTCATGTGAATTACCCATTTGCCAATAGCTAGTTTACGTCAGTAGACAATGAAATGAAAGGCTAAACGATACTTTTACATATTTTGTCGGCGAAGAAATAGATGTACACAATTTCCAAGATGGGATTAGTAGCCCACTTGAGGCTCCCTCTAAAGATTTGAACCTGAGTCGTCCAAACGGAAGTGTCTGATCTTAACCATGAAACTACTCGAGTCAGGTCCAGATGAAAACGTCCGTTTAGGGTGATGAACTAGGGATTAACAACAGCCAGTTTCGCAGGGCTTTTACATATACGAGGACTTTGACATTATGTGTCTTGGTGTTTCAAATTGGACTATGGCTGTCTTTTTTATGAGGTCGTCACTATTTGTCATGAAATTTGACTCCATTTTCTTGCTTGCCTGGCCTTAATGTCATTTGACGTGTATGTCCATTTTTTGATACTCACCAAGTTAATGACATTCAAATGCTTTCAAAAAGGTTTCGCGGAGACTAGGAATGGGAGCCGGGCTTCGCAGTTGGAAGTCGCATTCTCATTCGTTTATCGGTGTGTACTGAATAATGGTTTCGTTCGCTATACAATCGGGACGAGTATCAAATAATATTAGGATGTATATTTAGGTTTGCGCACGCTATGCTGCTTTAGAAATTCCAGATACCAGATCGGCGTGGATCGGCTCTTGGATTGGCGTGATGCACCATTCTCGTGCTCGAATTGTGTTAACTATGGAAATACTCATTGATTACCTTTCCCTCTAAAGAAAGTCACTGGGTAGCGATTTTGTGACAGTCTTCCAAATTTACATTTCCCGAGCAGCCTGAAGCTTTTCATTCTATCCTTCTTCAGGTTTGACCTGAAAACTTCCCTCTGACGGTTGTCATTTTTTACTGAGTATATCAGCATCAGAAAAAACTCAGAGAAGCTTATATTTGCTTAGACGCCCTTACATTACACTTTATATGCCTTGATTCCCATCAAAGTGAATGGCAGTTCCAATTCAAGTGAGCCCAATCCAAAATGAGTAATTTAAAAGCCCTGAGAAACCACACGTCAGAGACGTTGAAGACCCAATAGGCACCTCACAGCTGCTTACTCCTTACTGGGAATTATCACAATTTCGCATGTCGGGGATTCCTAGAGTTTCTAAGTGCGACTTAATCATGCTGCTGGCCTCTTGCTCCTGGTCACACGATTAAGTCTTTTAACTACTAACCGGGAAATTGAGGGTTTGAAACTCCCTGGGGTTTCATAAGACGATTCTCAGTCAAGATGAAACAGCTGTACAGTCCTTCGGCAACGTCTTCATAACTCTCCCCATTTCTGGGTGCTGCTCACAATTCGCACTCAGTTCACCTGAAGTGCTAACGAAATTACCTGAAGCATGTTCATGGAGGTGCGATTTACGGATATACTGCTCGTGAGCAGATGATATTTGTTCGAGAACAAACGAATCAGTTGTCATTTGGTGTTCGACCTGATCGTTGAGTGAAATACATAATTTATTCTAGTGTGAGGATCACCCAAGTTATGGGTGAAGTCAAAATGGAAGTGCAGCGGGACGTGTGATGCAAGTAGACTCTGGAAAGATACCTGAGGCCTACCAGAAGCGTCACTGGATGTTCCTGTAGGGATTGATGGAAAATTTGACACAGACAGTCAGATTTTTTGGCCAGTTAGTTTGTTGTCATCAATAAACCCACTTTTAACTTCTGCACGCCACGTACAGCACTGCCAAGTGCAGGTCTTGTTGTCGAGGTCGGGTAACATAGAACGCACATTTCACTGTCCATGACGTTCTGCATTTGTGTAGGTGCTGTAAGCATACCCTCACCTAGCCGTTAGCTATTCATGTATCTTAATAATGGTTGTTTTGTTTTCTGTATGGTAAAAAAGGACTTATTTATTTCGGGAGAAACATCAAGATTCATCATCTTTCAATGCTTTTCAGGTAAGTAAACTGATGGATTGCCTATGCTTTTCATTCTAGTGTCCAACAAAATATTGCACACTTCCAAACGGAAACCTACTGATAGTAAATCTAGTGAATGCCGACGCTGGAGAATACGCATGTGTGGCAACCAACAGTTTAGGTGAAGCGAGGTCCAGCGCTTTTCTCACTGTAATACCGTCGTTACAGCTCCAGCTTAGTCCGGTGAATCGCGTTGTCTACGAAAATTCCACTGTACTTCTACCTTGTCGCGCATCAAGCTCTCCGTATCTGGATATCAACTATGCTTGGTTTTTTGAGGTAAGCTCCATCGCCGAAGTATATTGTCATCGAGCTAAAACCAGTTACCATCCAAAGCTTTTGAGGTAATTGCAGATCACCGAAGTGGTTTTGTCAGTAAATTCTGTGTTCTGAGTTAAATGATGGGTCAGACACAAACCTCATTTGAGATATTTCTGATTGAGTGTTGTTTTGAAGCCGTATGTGAGTTGTTAGGCAGATTATTTGTTTGTTGACAAGCTTCGATTTTGCCCTGCTACTGAAGTCATCCTTTGCTGAAAATCTAAGGAGCACTACACATTTCTTCCACTCTTGTTTGAAACGCTCGTTAGTGCACACCTCACAGATTTTTAGGCTGATTGAAACCAACAACGCTCCGCACACTGGTTGAATACCCTATCATTCAGCCATCAGTGGTTGGTTTCTCAAGGGTAACGATTGTTGACAGTCTCCAGGTCAGTGTGAGTGGGCTGCATTTATTACTCATAAGTGTGACCAGATCTCCAGTTCTGACTAAGCCAGGATTTCAGAAAGTGCACAAAAAATGACAGCCCAAGCTCGTGTGCCATTTCAAACTATTTTGCAGTGGGCTATCAATTTTATGTCGTTGTCCAATTTGGTGGAGTTCACACAGAACTGTCAGCTCTAGGCTTGTACACCATTTGATAAACTCACAGTACTGACCTAGGAGGAACATGACTACACAAACATAACAGAGAAGTCCCCAATGTGGATGCTTTCAGTGACTACGAGTTAGTACGTGGGAAAGTACGTGATGGTCTTGCGCGCGACTTCGGAGTTTTAGCGCAGCTCACCGTTGGCTCACTATGAGAATATTTGCACGGAGGTTAAGTTAACTAAAAGAGTATGACTTTTCGAAAAATGATGACCTCTTGTAGAAAACGGATAACTGATTCGATCTACACCAGTGGGTCTACCTAACCGATCCTGTAATTTATACCTGATGAGATTCAATCGTTTATGCACAAAAATTATTCAGCATTCATGTTATACTGGCTAGGTATGTTCACAGTCCAATTTCTCTGCTTATATTTACTTAGAATTTCCAGTTTTGCCATATGCGCTCACAGCATAAGCTCCGTAAACTGTTTTTACACGTAAGCTCACTCGCATGCATTCCTGCCCTTCTGATCACAGCATTGCAAATATGTGGGTCTATCCACGTGTTACCCATATTTCCCTGTCATATTACAACTCATCGGTTTAT